AAAAAAAAAAAAAAAAAGAAAAAAAAAAAGAGCTTTTTCGAGATGGTCTCCTCGGGTGCGAACTCTTTAGACTTGACCCAAACTAAGTCACCTACCTGGAACTGTTAGGGTCAGCGATGCTTATTAGCTTGCTCAATCATATGGTGCTGGGCCTTCCTGAGGTTCTCAATCACCTTAGCGACTTTTCTCTTGTGCTGCCGCGCAAACTCTCGGGTGTCGGGCAGTAATCTCTGTATCTGATCCCGGTTCAGTCCTTCGAATGGTCACCTTGGCCTTAAGGACTTATGCAGCTCGCTGGGAGTTATACAGGTAGCTAGATGAACACTGTTGTTATAGGCACTTGCTACCTTGGGGAGCATCTCATCCCAGTTCACCTGATATGGTCTAATGTACATTCTGAGTAGCTGCTGCAAGATTTTATTCATTTGTTCTGTCTGACCGTTTGTCTCTGGATGGCGGCCGAACGACATCAACAGCTTAGATCCGTATACTCTCATAAGATCCTGCCAGTTCTGGCTGGTAAACCGTGTGTCTCTATCGCTAACTATGGACAATGGTAGACCGTGCTCGCTTACCCAGAAATCGAAAAACTTTTCTATAACTAAATCGGTATGTGCCTCTGAAGGCAAAGGAACAAAAACTGCACATTTGCTAAATCGGTCTACTATGACCATGACTTGACTTTTGCCCTACCTACTTCTGACCCAGTATCCATAGAGTCGATGGAAACTGACTCTCCGGGTCCTGACGGAATAGGCAAGGGTCTGAGAAGACCCAATGGTGCCCTAGTTGTCTTATTGCGTTGACAAACTTTGCAACTGTGTACGTATTCGATGCAATCCGCTTTCATGCCAGGCCACGTATAGGACATCATCAGGTTAGCTAGAGTCTTCTGCCAGCCGAAGTGCCCTTTTGTATCGTGGCATTTCCGCAGGATCAGACTACGGACCTCTTCACGGTTGGGGATGCAGAGTCTGTCAACGACATTAGTCTTCTCAAACAGTAGCCTGTTCGTGGTTCGATAGTGTGGCTCACTATCTGGGGCCTCTTCTACTCTTTTTAACAGTTCACTATAAATCGGGTCCTGCACATATGCATCTCTTACTTTCTGCTGCAGATCCGCCCCTATGTCGAGATAGTGCACTATCGCCCCGAAGTAATCAGCCCTTCTACTTGGAGTGTCGGCCACCACGTTGTCTTTAACCATCTGAGAGTTTCGTGGTCTGAATACACTTTGAAGTGCCTCCCAAGCAGGTAATGCCTCCGGTGGTCTAGGGCCTGCCTGAGAGCGTAGAGTTCTCTCTCATACGTCGATGCTGCAACCTTCTCCTCTTCCTTAGGCTTGTTAGAAACCGGCCTAACGTAGGCTACGAACACCTGCCAGAACTCCTTTGGATTGTCAGACTGGCGAATGCAGGAGTGCTGAGGCAGCAATGTGCAGGGGGATTGTCTACCCCAGACTCATGGTACAGGCGAACTTGCTTAACT